CTCTAAAGAATACAGGGTCTGATAATGTGCTCATGTTTTATAGTAAGTAACTGATGCAGATATAGAATACTACTCCCAGTCTCTCATGACTTTGTATTGCAAGACACAGGTAAACCACTTAGCTGATATAGTGATATATAAACGCGCGTTAGTAAGGAGCAGATGTTAATCTCAAGATCGTTTTACTGGCATTCAATTTATATTCTACACTTTCTAGCTTTAGATAGTGTAAAAACACTAAATATTCTACTAAGTTAAAAATCGATATCTTTGCTCGGATCGATACCTCAATAAGTCTCTGACAATCACATAGTCGACACGCCAATAAATATAAACTGTGACATAATTGTAACCTTGGCTTTAAATAACTTACTGGAGTAATTAGCGACAAAAATGCGTGACAGCTTTTTTTGCATCCGTCGCTATAAGAACCGATGTCCAAGCGGATACAAATCTCCAACTCTTTCTCGACTTTCTACCGCAATTAAAAGAACGATCAATATATAGAAAGTCAATAAATAGTTCCTGACTACGTGGCTATCTGTTATGGCATAACTATGAAATCAAGGATAGTCGAATACTTTTATTCTAACGATAGTTCGGAAATAAAAAAAAGACAGTTTTACTGTAGATGTCTTGACAGTTCGCAAGTAAGCGAAATATATTCCATGAAAAAGGCGTTGAATATTAAAAAAATAAATTTCTTGTAGCACATGTTTTTGGTCAATATATTGACTTGTAGGAGATACTTTTCTCCTTTTTCAGACTTTGTATCGTTGAAGCCTTTGTGTCTCATCAAAGAAAACCTTGCTTTTCGTTCGACGTGTTCCTGGTAACTAATCAGATGTTTCATCAGTACGTTGCAAACCATCATAAAGTCAACAAGATACTCTCGCGTTGACTAATCCTGTATTCTGAGCATATTTAATGTTGTTTTGTCTCCAACACAGGAATATTTTTATATATTTACATAAATATTAAACATTCCTCACAATGAAGAGATTCTCCTGTGTAATGAATAAATGTATATGTTACATGGTTTAAAAGCTTCTTGCGGATAACTTAGTAAACAACCTGCTCCAATAGAAAATGGACAGATTTTGGACAATGATTCTTGTATCTAACACCAACTTATTTCATTACACAATAAAGGAGCTGCTAATTATTTATTTGTAATGCTTTAATTAACTTAAGAAATTGTTATATACAACTATTTACGCGTCTTAAACAAAAACTTTAAAAGAAAGCAATTCTGGCTTGAATTGCAAGATATATGCTCTTTATAGTGATAGAGCCTTGATTGAGAGATTCGCAAGGACTGCATTGCTTTTTTGCAGATACTTTCTTGGATTCCTTACATTATCGAGCGTTGTTAACTCATATTTCGATGTTATCAAAGCGATTACAATGTTTTTTGTTAAATTTTACTTCATGCCCTGATAACATATTTCGAGATACACTAGTGACTTGTGTGGCTGGCTATGTAGATAAATGTCACTACGGTTATGATATGTTTCTTCGACTTCAGATAGCTCTTCTTCCTTTTCATAGTTAGCAATGGTTTCTCACTGATGAAGCCTGGATTTCACAGCATCTGATCTCTTTGCCCTATCGTTGCCTTGCTTGCCAAGGTCTCCTTTCATTGGTGGATTAATCGATCCTAGTCCTCTTGTGTTAGCATAGTAGTCTGTCACTTGTAGGTGGGAATGTTCTTCATCGTCTGGAATGTTTCTCATTTTGCTTAATACGGAGAGAAAACTTCTTTAGCTCGCTCACTATCCTTATACTTCGTTTCACGATTGCTTGTCCATAAGCTATCGAGGATGTTTACCCGCTCTTGAAAGTAGTTTTAGGAAGCTTGTATATTACTGTTTTTTGTGCCGGTCAATACCCATGAATGATGTTACTGTGATACAGAAAAAAGTATACTAGCCATCAGCTGTTGCTACAATTCTATGTTAGCGTTCTCTGTCTAGTCTTCAAGAGCGTCTCATATTGTTGCCGCCGTTTGTTGAAAACAATGGATTTTGACATTTATATTGAAGGTTGAAAATACTGTAATTACAGCGTGGACACACGTTCAAAAAAACCATAGCTGTAAGTGATTTCACAACGAATTGAATCAATCCATTAGATGAAATATATGTTTCTCACAGTTCTTCACAGTTGGAATATTTAGGTTACTATAGTGATGAAAACTTAAGTTATTACTGTTTAGTAAACATTTTGAGAGCGACTATGTTCTGTTCTCTCTACTCTATGACTAGGCATTACGTATTAAAACTGAAAGAAATGATAACAATACATCATTTCATTATTTTAAATGCTACTATGATGATATAATAGAACAAACTGTACTACTAAGACTTTCTCTACTTGTTAAACAGTCCTCGTTAAAATTGTAAGAGTATAACTTATATCAATCCATTGCAAAATCAATAACAAAATATTCAAAGAATATATAACATTAACCCAGTTAAAAATTATCAAGATCGGAATCTCATAATTATATATAACTCAAATAAATAAATTGCTTTCACTCACTTCAGTGTGCACGTTTCCAAAATATCAAGACCAGAAGTACTCATCTACCTATAATTATCACAAATAAATTAAATTGCATTTACTCAGTTGCTTCTGACACCTATCCTCCATTCTCTACATAAACTATAAAACGAAGTTTACTTCCACTTGCTACGTATATCTAATCAAAAGTATTCCCGAAGCTCTGATGAAATAAGGCTTTGTAGGTATAGAAACAAGTTAAGCCAAGAGCTTGTTCATCTTATTCATATTATGTCAGGGTAATTAAAAAAAATGTTAAACTTCCTCTTCCCACAACGGAACCTACGTTACTCTTTTGCGTGTCGAAACTTAGATATACTGAGACTTTTGTACCTCTTTCTCTAGAGGGATTAGATTCGTGTCGCATAACAAATATTACATAATATAGCTACTACTGACAATAGCCCGACAAGCAATTGATTAAAAAACTGTGGGGAAGAGATTTCCAGCTAAATTTATTGAGTACAACATAATAATACTACTTACACTAAGCATTTTTATGTTCTGTGATGCATTCGTCATCTATATACTGCTAAGTGAAATACCGTATGTAGAATATTATGCATCAGCAAGGGATGAGAAAAAGATCCCTATGATTTTTCTCGATTTATTTTCTCAAAAAAAGCTACGTATGACTCATTGAAATCAATATTTTTTTATTGAATCTCAGTAGTATTATTCGTTTACGTCTTATAACCTCTCTGGAAAACTTCTCTCGAATACAAATTAAGATAATTTAATCAAATTTAATATGGCTATAATATTCCAGAGATGATTTAAAAAATCTCTCCCTCGCTTAGTCAATATTATATGAAATCCACTCATCCCGAAATTATATAATCTATTTTCTGCACGTTTCGTAAATAAGTTGGAGACCTTTATTCTTGTACCAAGATAGAATCATACTTCGCTAACGCCAGCTAGTTTAGTCTCATCGATTCTTATTTTAGTTGTCGTGACAGTGTGCAAGTGTTAAATTATACCATATAGTTATTATTTAAGTGTCGTTCTGCGTAAAATTTGATAGGAAGCTGAATGAATTAGTGCCATCAATTTTATATTAAAAAATTATTTCCTGATTACACCGTCGCGACCCCAATTCACACAAAGCATAAAAACTGAGATCTACTGTTGAAGTTTATAAAAGAGTAGTTAGTTGTCAGAATATTTATCTATAATAACGTGTTTGTGAATATTTGGTTCCACTAACATTCTCTTTCCTTCTCTGAGAGTAAGGACGCTCTCTGCAACACAATAAGTATTATTCTCTATTTCGACTTACTTAACGATACTGTCCCTCTACTCCGTTCCACTTTCTCTTGACATTCACATGACCTCCGTAAACCGCCGTGCCTTCTAATGAAACTAATCAGTCCCGAAAAATTGTTGTTCCTTAAAGGATTCGAAAAATTGAAATTTAGCGCCTAAAATGTATTTTTTCGAGTTAGTGCTAGTTTACAATGTGTTACCAAAATTCCTTTTTTTTCATAGTCTTCAAACTTCCCATATTTTCGTTTTAAATCAGTTTACTTTCACAATAGCGGGAAGCCAATTCTTCTATTAACCAAAAACGCACTTCAAACACATAAATAACGATTACCAACTTGGTTTCATTTCTTACCTTATTTTGTATAGACCAAGTGTTGCTAATATTTCAATCACACAATACATACACGATATTCTTTGAACAAATGCATAA